GCGTCGTGCGCATCCCCTAGGCCGATGGCGGGTTGGTCGGCTGCTGTGTTCGACCCTGCAGTCAGCGCCGCCGCCTGTCCATCGGGGAGCGAGCTTGCCCACGCGTTCACGGCGGCGACTGAAAAGACTGTCTTGCCAGTCCCGGGGGGGCCGTGAACCACCGTGACGTGGTGCTGTATGGCTGCAACAAGGGCCTTCGTCGCATCCTCGTTGAGACGGCGACGTTTGGCGCCATCGTCCACAGTGGTGATTGGGGGGGGGTTCTGACCCGCTGAAATACCTGACCCGTAGCGCTGTCTACTTCCTCGTCGGAGAAAGGGGCGTCTGCTGGCCCCTCGCTCTGTTGCTGCTGATCTGCCGTGCTACCACTCTCATTTGCCGGAGGTAGGCCAGGCGCCTGGGCCCCGATGGTGGCCCTCGCCCGCGAGAGGAGGGAGTTGCCGCACGTCCTGGCACGCACTACGTCGTCGGCCCGCGCCCTGTCCTGTCTGTCGGCGGCGCGGGGGTTGAGAAGGAAGGAGATGGCGTCGAGCGGTGTGCCCGCCAGGTCGCTTGGGGCCTGTTGTAGCTTGTAGATCTCGCTGATGGCACTAGAGATCCGCCAGTACTGCAGCTCGGGGGAAGCTTTGTCCTCTCTGCACTCTGTACAACACGTCACCCGCCCTGTCTGGCTTCGTGTGCGTCCCGTCCGGGAGAAACTCCCCAGCCTCCCCGGCGTCGCACCAGGCCAGGGCTTGGTTGGTGGGGCACTTGGTTCCTGATCGCGCCCCCATGACTTCGCACTCGCTGGGGGGAACGGCACATCCGAAGTCTGGGGGCCATATGAGTTTGAGGGAGGCAATCTGGTCCGCCGTTGGGCTGGTGATGCTGAGGAGCAGCGTCCGTGCCTCTTGTCCCCCTTCCACTCCACGGAACAGAATCTTGAACTCTATCGGCCATTGCAGGCGCAGCAGTACCTTTCCATCCTGGGCATCCTGGGGGGGGAGTGCGTTGCGGAGCTTGAACTTGTCGAGGGGCACGCAGGGGGAACGCTCGTTGATGGGGGTGACCGACACGGCCAGGGCGCAGCTCTTCCTTCGTGCCAAGTCGGTTCTGACCTTCGCGGAGCCGTCCCACACTGTTTCTGCGGCTGCCATGCACTCGGCCCAGGCCAGTCTGTTAAGGGCGTAACCTCTTTGTCGAAGATCCTGCCCCCAATGTTTTGGAAGGTTGACCCCGGTGGGGACCTTGCCCAAGGGGGTATGCGGGCGGAATTGGGCTCCTGGGCTGCTGGCGGGTAAGGCGTAGAGCCGAGTGATGGCGTTAGCTGCTGCAGCTGCAGATGACTCCGTGGTTGTCTGACCATCCTGGGGGGGGAAGTCGCCTGTCCAGTCGTCACCAACTCCGCGCGGTGGACCCGCCCGATCTGTTGGGTCCTGCGATGAGGCCCTGCTGGAGTCGGCGCGCCTCCCCCTCGGGATCGGCGAGGCGGAAGGCCCCCCTGCTGCGGCGGGGTTCGGGGGAAGCGGGTCAGTGCCCCCCCAGGCTCCGGTTGTGCGCCACGGGGTGACCCCCCAGTCCTCCTGGCACTGGCTGGGCGGCCGTAGGTCGGTCGAATGCACGGTGTCGGCGAAGATGGAGAAGTTGAACTTATCGTCGCGGAAGGGGAAGTTGACTGGTACGTGGCCCCAGTCTTCGGGGAAGGTCCAGCCTGGTAGATATGCCTGCGCGCCGTCCTTGACTGGAGCCGGCAGCTCCCAGCCTGGCCATAGGCGTCTGGCGATGGTGTTCCCAGAAATTCTGTCCACGCTCTTTCCCAAGGTCCTGGTCCAGAGATTGCCTCGCTCGGTGCACAGCCTGGGGTCTAGCCACCCAGTCTCCTTCTGCTTCTCAGCCTCTGTGGCATGGCCCCCTCCCAGGAGGTGCTCCTTGCCTGCGCAGTACCTTTGGCACACCTCACACCACCAGCACCACTCGCGATTGAAATGTGCCCATCTGAGCCATGGGCATTCCCGCGCACGGAAGGGGCGGAGGCCGCCTGACGCGCCAGGGCCTTGCTCACAGGGTTCGGTGGGGGAGGGCCATCTGGCCAGTGGCCCGCTGTCACACTTCTTCTTCCTGGGCATCCTGGCGGAACGGAAGGGGGAAGTGCAGCCGATAGCTGCGTAGCTGGCAAATGGGTGTGCGGGAGGAAAGCTTGAGCCGCCACAGCGAAGACCTCAGTTGTCGCGCAGATCGGTCGATCGGCGATCAGATTGGGGCGGGGCGGAGGGGGGGGAGGAGGGGGGGGTGTTCGAGCAGGTGTGCAGCCTCCGCCGCCCCGATGGGGTCGCAAAGGTTGGTCTCCCGTAGATTGATGTCGGGAAAGTGCGCCGGCTGGGAGGGGGCGCCACCTGCCCAGTGCATGTGCGAGGTGACAGCTGTCACGCCTTCCCTGCGGAGGGAGTCCGCCCAGTATACCCCAATGGTGGCCAGGCTGTCGGCGGCTTTGTTGAGCCTCCGCCTGACCGCCTGCCACGTGAGTACCCACCCAGCACTTTCTACTTGTCCTAAGGCGTCCTCCATTTGTTGGGCCAGGCGGAGCCTTCGGTATCTGGCGGCACCGGCCCCATATCTCACAGCTGCCAGGCTGTCGCCCACAATTCGTGCCATCCGGATTAGGCCTCTGAGGTGGGGGAGCAGCGCCAATCCGGCTCGGCAGCCTGCCACCTCTGCCATCTGTGCATTGCCGCAGTCGGGGAGTGCGACGATGGCTATGGCAAGGACCCGAGGGGATCGGGAGCTGGGGTTGCGATGCCAGAGAATGGTCCCGGCGCCCGAAATTTTCTCCCCACCTCCAATGGACCTTGCGCCCCCGTCGAAGGTGACCTCATATGGCCATTGGGTGGAGTGGGAGTCAGGGAAGGGCGAGCTGCGCACAGTGACCTCATCACCTGGCTCGAGCCTCGTGCTGGCAGTTAGCGTGGTGGTGTGGAGCCTGCACTCCCGGCAGAAAGCTGAGGACCAACTGGCGGTGGGTGAATTGTCTGTCCTTGGGCAGGGGAACCAACTCCTGCCTGGAGGCGTCCATGCAGCACGCGCGTGGGGGGCTTGCAGGACCACTATTATGTCCTCTGGGTTGTGGTGTCTGGTGACAACCGGGAGTCTGCGAATCTCGCCTCCTGCCCTGCCCGCGTGTCGCTGCAAGTGGGGCCTAGCAGCGCCACAGACAGATCCTACGGGGGTGGGGCAGGGATTGCACGTGCGACAGGTGTCCCGCAGGACGGTCCATACGGCTGTTTCGTCTGGATTGCTGCTCCTGGGGGGCTCGTCGTCCCCGTGCTCCCCTTCCTCGCTCTCCTCTTTATGGTCAGCGTCGAGGGTTGCTAAGCCGTGCAGGATGAGTCTGGCGGCCTCGGCGGCTTCAAGGGGGGAGGCAGTGAGGTTGACGCAGCATCTGAAGGAAATTTCGTGTAGTACCTTGGCGAGCAGCGGCTGGTGGTCGCCGTTGCTGATGATGGCTTGAGCGAGGGTCGGCGGGTCGTCTGGGCCTCGCATGGTGCCCCAGGCGAGTGCTGCGGCTGGGCACCAGTGCCAGACGTGCTCTGTGGTCGCTTCTCCGAGCCCACAGAGCGGACAGCGCCCGCACGGCCCACTTCTGATGGGTGGTGGTCGGAGGCGCCCCCACGCATTTGCATGTGCTTCTGCTTGAGCCCTTATTAGGGAGGGGGGTAGTATGTCGGAGGGAAGGGTTTGCCAGAGGGCGAATGTGCGTGGGCCGGTGCCGATGCATCTTGCGCACCAGGCAGCTCCCTCGTCGCTAGGGCTGGCAGTGATCCACACGTTTCTGGCAATTGGGTGTGCGGGACGCATGCGGGCGGCAGCACTGGGGCCTTCGGTGGGGCTCCCTATGGGGCCACGAAACGTGTGAGGGGTGTGCCGAATTGGGTGTGCGGGACGCATGCGGGCGGTAGCCCCGGGGCCTTCGGTGGGGCTCCCTATGGGGCCACGAAACGTGTGAGGGGTGTGCCGAATTGGGTGTGCGGGACGCATGCGGGCGGCAGCACTGGGGCCTTCGGTGGGGCTCCCTATGGGGCCACGAAACGTGTGAGGGGTGTGCCGAATTGGGTGTGCGGGACGCATGCGGGCGGCAGCACTGGGGCCTTCGGTGGGGCTCCCTATGGGGCCACGAAACGTGTGAGGGGTGTGCCGAATTGGGTGTGCGGGACGCATGCGGGCGGCAGCACTGGGGCCTTCGGTGGGGCTCCCTATGGGGCCACGAAACGTGTGAGGGGTGTGCCGAATTGGGTGTGCGGGACGCATGCGGGCGGCAGCACTGGGGCCTTCGGTGGGGCTCCCTGTGGGGCCACGAAACGTGTGAGGGGTGTGCCGAAATGGAGGATGATGAGGATGATGATGGTGGGAGGAGGGAGGAGGGAGGAGGAGGAGAACGAGGAGCGTGAGCGGGAGCGGGCGCTGTCTCTTCAAAACGAGGACCAAACACCACAGGATGGTTGGGAAAAAACATACGCATGCAGCGCAGCTCAAACCCCAGAGAAACTTGACGGCCACTCACGAAACTATCATTGAGATACTGGGTCGATCGACTGCGAAACCCCATTGCTCATGACGAATTCGACTAATTGATTGAAGATGACATTTATAAAATGCCTTGAACGCACTGCTGAAAGTGCTCTGACTTATAACTTGTTACCAACACCCTGGATTCAATCTCGAAACTCACGAATGCGACACAAAAACACTTACAACCGAAAGTTCTACGTATTACTGCTGGGAGAAATGTTTCGCTGTAAGCGGCGCACCGAGCTACTTGAAGTACTGGCCGCTGGCCATCGGCATGCTAATTCTCAAACGAACACGAGAATAAAAGAGAGGAAAAGACGGACGCCGACGACGAGGACATAAGAGGAGTGGAAGGAGCACGATGAGGAGGAGGAGCAGAAGAAGACGACGACGAAAAGCAAGAGGGGCGGAGGGAGGGGGACAAGAAGAGCGAGGAAAGAGAAACACGTCCGCCGTTCCTCCTCGAGCATCTCCTGGGTCGCGCGCGAGTTCAGGATCTTCTGAAGAACGCTTGCCTGGTAGCGGAGAGCAACGGATGACGACGAGGAAGACAACGAGGACGACCAGGCGGACGACGATGACGCTGACGGTGACCGCGAACGACCACAACGACAACGACAACGACGACGACGACGAGGATAATGAAGAGGATGACGCCGAGGATGAGGATGACGACGACGACGACGATGATGCCGACGAACACGACGAAGACGACTGCGAAGACGACGACGACAACGAAGACGAGGGCGACAAAAACGACACAACGGCTACGACCGAGACGAAGTCAAAGACGACGACGACAACGATGACGACGAACATGACGAGGACGAGCACGCTGACCGAGCGAGTCTGCAGGAAGGAGCCCGCAGTCCCCTTCTCCAGCGCCGCCACCGCCTCTGGGGGGGGAGGCGACTGGAAGCACAGGCAGGCTCTCCGGGGTCGTCTTTCCTCCTAGGCACGAGTACAGGGTGGCAAGGGAAGGCAGGGAGGCAGGGAAACAAGAGCAGCGGCAAGCACGGAGGATGAGGGGGAGAACACATCCACCCCCAGTCATCCTCATACTACTTCTGTTCCTCATCACCAGGAAATTAATACTAATACTAATCATCATCATCATCATCATCAACATCATCATCAACATCATCATCATAATCATCATCACCATCATCACCATCATCATCATAATCATGTTCCATCCCTCGCAACATTCCTCATAATCCCTTCTTATCACTCCTCCTCCTCATCATCATCATCACCATCTTCATCAGCATCATCATCAGCTGCATCATCAGCATCATCATATTTCTCCTCCGCCCTCCTCCTCCTCCGCCGCCTCCTCCATTCGTTTCTCTTTGTTTCCTACTCATCCTCCTCCACCCCCTCATGCTCGTACTCATTCTGCATCTCCCCCTTTCACTTCTCTGGCACCGACACCGCCTTCAAAATCGCATCAATGTTGGCAACGTACTCGTCCTTGGCGCCAACGAAGGCGGAATTCTCCTTTTTTCGGATGCCCGTCGCCTCGGCGATGGCTGCCTGGGTGCATACGTACGAACACACACACACACACACACACACTCACACACATATATATATATATATACATATGTGAATATATATATATATATATATATGTAGACAGATATATCGGAGGTTGGGGGGTGAGATCGAAGTGGAACGGAGAGCCCCCTACCGGGAAATCGATTTCGGTTTCGCGTTCGTGCGTGCCGAGCGGGCGAAGCAAAGCTGCGTGGGCGGGCGAGATAAAGTCTCCTGTGGCTGAGGCGCGGCCGGACCAAATGTCTCCCTTCCGGGCGGCCGGGGGCCCGCGGTGTCCCGCCGGTGTCCCGCTGGTGTCCCGTGTGGCTGAGGCGCGGCCGGACCAAATGACTCCCTTCCGGGCGGCCGGGGCCCCGCGGTGTCCCGCCGGTGTCCCGCTGGTGTCCCGTGTGGCTGAGGCGCGGCCGGACGAAATGATTCCCTTCCGGGCGGCCGGGGCGGCGCGGTGTCCCGCCGGTGTTCATGGTCAAGAATTCGGCCGGGCTGCCGAATCCTCACCATCAGTTCTTCAGTTCAGCTCGCCGTTGACAGTGAACGGGCCGGCCGTGCTGCCGATTTTGCGCAGAGAATCTTCGTGTCGACTGGCATGGGCGGAGACACGGAGAGAGCGGCATGTGTGTCGAGCGGCATGTGTGTCGAGCGGCATGGTGGGATCGTGTGTGGGATAGTGAGACCGGCCGAGAGAGATCGATGATGAGATCGACTGTGAGATCGATGGTGAGATTGATCGAGTGAGATCGATGAGTGAGCCCGATAAAGAGATCGATTGTGAGATCGATAGTGCAAGAGGGGGCGCGGGCTGCGCCAAGCTTTGCCAGCGCTTCAGTCTTCTGTGGCCAAATGGCGCCGTTAGCTGCCGTTGCGCAAGTTGGGCAGGTTCCCAAAGGGAGGGCCGAATGGTACCAAGGCGCCAAAAAGCAAAGGGTGACGTAAACAACTCGACACCAACGCTCCCAAGAGCGAGCGGCAACGCAACTATCTCCACTGGCACTGTCACAACAACATTCACCACTGTTGCCCATTGCTGGGCCCCTCCCCCCCCCAACCTCCTTATCACCCGCAGGGTGGTCGTATAGGTATATATACTAGAACCATCGCGCGCTTCGCGCGCGCTCAGGTTCTAGCCCAGGCTGGGGGGGCGCTGGACGATCTTGGACAACGCTATCAAGCACAGGCGCGCGACGGCGTCTGAGGAGCTTCTGGGGTGTTCCGCATGCTTCGTCAACTGGCTGTTGGAGGCACCTCTTGGGTGCCTCTTGGGGGGGGCGTCTGAGGGTCCCTTGGGGGCATCGGCTCTGCAATCTGAAGCCGTCATTGGCCGTCTTGGCTGCGTGGAGGCCCGACTTGAGGCCACCTGCGGCCAGATTGAGGCAATCCGGAAGCCTCCCAGGGGCCTCCTGAAAGCAGTTTTGACGCATCGGGGCCACTCTTGGGCTACTTTAAAACCTCTTGGACGTCTCCTAGGGGCCTTTTGGGCCCTCGGGAAGCTTTTGGGGTCCTCGTCGGATTACTTGGGGGCCTCTTGCGCTCTTGCGGCCTCCTGTGGGCCTTTTAGGGGGAACGCTCTGCTGCTGGGTCGCGTTCCCCTTCTTGGGCCTCTCTTGGGGCTCTTGGGGCCCTCTCGGGCCGTCTTGGGCGCCTCAAGCACCGTCTTGGGGCCCTCGCGGGCCGTCTTGGGGCCCTCTTGGAGGCCTCTTCCTCTATATTGGATCGACTTTGGAAGCCTCTTGAGCCGTCATGGAGCATCGGGATGCCAAAAGGCCGACAAAAATTAAAACCCGTCAAAGCCCAATCGTAAAACAATGAGTTGTGCCTCTTGGGGCCACCTTGGGAGATCTCTTGCAACCTCGTCGGCCCTCTTGGGAGCTTCTTGGGGGCCTCTTGGATCTGATTGGAGGCCTCTTGGGACTTCCCGAGAACCTCTCGGGGTAGGAAGCTCGGATTCTCAGTTCGTGTTTCCCTTCCTCTCTTGGGGCCGTCTTGGGGCCCTCTCGGGCCGTCTTGGGCGCCTCAGGCACCGCCTTGGGGCCCTCGTGGGCCGCCCAGGGCCCTCTTGGAAGCCTCTTCGGCTATCTTGTGGCTGTCTTGGAGGCCTCTTCCTCCTCCTCGTCCCCCCTCCTCCTCCTCCTCCCACTCCAGCTCTCTCTCCTCCTGATCTTCCTCCTCCTCCTCCTGCAGCGTGTTCCGGAAGGCTCCCGCCGGAACATGCTGTGCACAAGTGCTGTCACTGCTCCCGCCGCCGTGCCCTGGGTGGTGGGTCAGAGGCCTCATGGGTGTTGGTTTGGATCTCGTGGTTGGCCTGTCGGGGACGTCGTGAAGGCAGTTTCACAGCTTCTCGAAAGCCGTTTTGGGACCGTTGTGGGGCCTCCTCGGGGCTGTTTTGTGGCCTCTTTAGACCTCGTTTGGGCCTCCTGGGTGCCTCTTGGACGCCTTCTGGGGCCTCTTGGGGGCTCCTTGGGGCCTCCTGGGGCACTCTTCAAGCGGGAGGGTAGAATTTTGGAGTCGTGGTCCCCCGGTCCCCCTCTTGGGCGCATCTTGGGGCCGTCTTGGGGCTCTGCTGGGCTGTCTTGAGTCTTGGGCGACTCTGGGGCCGTCTTGGGGCCCTCTTGGGCCGTCTTGGGGCGCTCTTGGGGGCCTATTGAGCCGTCTTGGACGTCGGACGGCCGAAAAGGCTGGAAGGCCAAAATCGTTCGAAAACCTTTGTAAAATTGACGATTTCGATCTCTTGAAGCGCTTTGGAGAGGCGTCTTGAAGCGTCGTGGAGTGCCTTGGGGGGCCTCTCGGGCCGTCTTGGGCCTATCTTGGGCGTCCTAGAGCGGTCTTTCGGCGACTCGGGGCCCGCTTGGGCCGTCTTGGGAGCCTCTGGAGGCCCTCCTGGACTATTTTGGACTTCCCCAGCCGCCCCATCCTCCCACGGGGGGTCGGAGGCGGCGGCCTCCGAGGCCCAGGACACGGAAACCTTGTAAAAACTCAGGGAAAGTGAGCCCCGGAGCCCCCAGGGGGCGCAGGTCCACTCCTGGCGGCCTCCCTCGGAGGCCCTGGAACGCCGAAACCAAATAAAAACACAGGGAAAGTGAGCCCCGTGGCCCCCATGGGGGTCCGAGGCACAAATCTGGCGGCCCCGGGTCCCGTTCCCCGGTGTGTATATATATATATATATATATATATATATATACACACAAAATGTATTTATACATCCATTATCAGACGCGCATATCTTTTTTCCTAGATGGAGCAGATCCCGAACTAAGCTTGAACCCCCGGCCCGCCTGCGGGCGACTGCCCCTGACCCAGGCGCCCTGGGGGACGCGCATCTCCGAGGGAGTAGAAGCTCAAAGGATATAAATTCCTGTCCCGATCGAGACTTGCCTGGCCATGACGCTCGGGACAGCTTCAAAGAATTATGAGAACCCGTGGCGCCCCCCACGCAGATCGCGACATCACGGTCCAAGAAAACAGCCTCGTCCACAAATCTAACATAAAACATTCAGAATCACAGCGAGATTCAACTTGCAACTATTAACTTGCAATTTCGCTTGCGTCGCTGCCCCACGCGCGGCGACGGGGCGTAGAAAGTCGAGTGCAAGCAGCGGAACGCGCTCTCTCTCTCTCTCTCTCTCTCTCTCTCTCTCACACACAACACACAAGGAACTCACACACAACGCTCTCTCTCTCTCTCCCACTCTCTTTCTCTCTCTCTCTCTCCCACTCTCTCTTCCTCTCCCTATATCTCTCTCACAACATACACATACCATATATGACACGCAGAACACACACGACCCACACATAATTCACACATAAGACACACAACACTCAACGCAAGCACACAACACACAACACACGTAACACACACACACACACAAACACACACACCTTCTACTCAGCATACACACACGTCGCACGTGCTTGTATGAGCCTGGGCACGCACGTGCCACTTCTACATGTATGCGCCAAGGCACGACGATGTACACCACAACTTCATGTAAGCACACACGTGGATATACCTTCCAATGCACAAGTCCTCTTCTAGATCCTCCTGCACCGCCCTTCGGCAGCACATAAATTCCTGAGGATAAATTATCGATGATGGCGGATCCCGTCATGATGAACGGGTTGCGAAAAACAGGTCTGATTGCTTTACTCATGCTTCCTCAATATGTTGCTCATGACAGCCGTTGTGGGCTGCACGATGGCTGCCTTGGGGCGTGCGTGATGTACGCTACAACTTCATACACTACAATTTCATGTAAGCGCACACATGGATATAGCTTCCAATGCACATGTCCTCCTCTTTGCTTCCTCTACCTCCTCCTGTCCTCCTCATCCGCCTCATCCTCCTCCTCCTCATGTACCCTCCTGCGGCAGCAACTGTTCCTGATGTCGCTACTCCTGGCAGCCTTTGTGGGCTGCGCCTCTCCCTGCCTTGGCGCAAATATTGAAGACTGCACCCTGCAACTCCATGACAGCGCACTTTTGGTTTAGTGTTAGTTCCTCTTCACTGCTAGCTTTCTCTCTCCGATACTTTTCCTCATCTTCTCTCGATACGATCCTGGTATCATATGTGCCTACATCTCCTCGCCATCCTCTCCCGATATTTCCTTGAGCGACGAAAAGAAGCGGGTCTTACGCGAGATGTCATCGCGACCTTACGCGGTGGCTTACGCGGATCACCAGCGCGGCAGGCCACGCTGAAAACGACTGCTCTTACACGCGACCTAACGCGGGCAACTTACGCGCCAATGTCCGTGCGGACGACTCCGTTTTTGTGCGTCGCTCACTTGTCCGAGGGCACGCTGCCCACGCCCTTGGCGGCGGCTGCCTTGGCGGCAGAGCGGTCCTCCTGTGGGAGGATGCCAGTGGCCCACCGACACGGGACCTGCACTTTCGAGGGTCCAGCGCAGATCCAAGAAATCCGCGAGGACCTCCGAAAGTTCATGCTTGTGTGTTTGTTTCTCTCCCCCATACTCCGACCCTTACCAGGATTAGCCCAGGCCCAGGATCGGTGGGTACGAGCGCCTGGCCCAAACAAGCGATCGTGAACACCGATCCTGTGCCCAGGGCTGGCCTGGTCAGGCTCGCTGTGGGTGGGTGGTTTGCGTCCCCCGAGGTCCTGGTCCTGCTTCAGACCCTCCTTCGTCTCCGCCAGCGTGGCCTCGGAGTCCTTCAGCTCGCTGGACAGCTGGGGGATCTTAGTCTCGGCGTCACCGATGCTCTTGGAGAGGTCGCCGGAGCCCGTCTTGCAATACATCGACCCACTTGGGGTCTCTGGCCCATGAGATTGCATGCGCCACCAAGATGGAGGCCTTCTAAACGGAGCCGGAGTATGTTGATAGGGTCGGAAGATCGCGCCGCATCGCCGATGTGTCGGGATGGAGGTAGCGTTGCGGATCGTGCCGCGAAACCGATGCATCGGCGATGCGACGCGATCCTCCGACCCAATTCACTCCAGTCCCGTTTGGGCGGCCTTGATAATTATCATGACCAAAGCAATATGACGAGGAAGAGAAAAACTGAGGGGAAGGAAGAAGGGGGGATTGGGTGGCATGGATCAGACCCCTCTACCTGAGAGTAAGACTGCGACGGGTGAGAGGGGGTCTGAGGGCTCCCCAAGCTACAGGGCGTCAGCTCGGTCCCCGACGCCTGCTCTCCGACTTGGGAAGAGGGAGCAGAGGAGGGAGTGAGGATGGAAGCGGGAGGAGGGAGATGGGAGGGACTGCCCGGGTCAAGCGCGGTGCCGAGAAGAAGAAACGACTGACTGACTCCGTGCAACGTAACGGATCATGTTCCATCGCCATGGCCTGTGCCTCGTTGATGCGCACTCGATGTAAATTCCTACTCGACGAGCGAGTTTCTTTCGGCGTCTGCTTGGCCTCGTATGCGCTTGCCTGCTGTAGTTCCCGCTTGCATGCAATTGATCGCTACTGCCTGCTTCCTTGCGAGTCTCCTTTCGCGGCTGCTTGAAAACTCACCACGCAACAGGAGCACGATCGGACACGTCAGGGACCGGCGGCGCGGCGCTGACCCTCTGCATAGCACATGAATTTATCGAACAGTTCGGCCTCTGTCTCCCCCTCGGACGTAACCTTCCGGCTCTATGCAAGGGTGATATCTGCCAGTGGGTGACCTCGGGTGCGCTGCTGCTTGTGGGCCTGCGACACCCAAAAAGCAGCCGTTCTAGGAGCCGTCGGGAGCGCTGGAGTGGCGCCACCAGGCGCTCCCTTTGGCCCAGCACCAAAGGTCACCCCGGCGAGAGCAAAAGAAGAAAAAACAGCATAAACGTAAACTGACAGAAGATCCGCGAAGATTTCTTGGATCGGCGCTGGACTCCCCTCCCAAATCCGAGAAATCCGCGAGGGCCTCCGAAGTTTATGATTGTGCAGTGTGGATCCTGTTCGAGAGAAGACACCCATACGAATCGCCGACCTTTTTCTGCATGGCCTGCAGCATCTGGACGACCTTCCTGACCGGGTTGGCGTTGACCGTAGTGGCGCCGCCCTCCGCCGCGCATGCGGCGAGGATGAGCAGGAGCAGGGCGCCGCGCGTCATTGCAGTGGTCGCGGCTGCTACAATTCACACCGTTGCGTGGTCGGATTGTGTCAGAAACGTGTTGACCGTCTTGACACAAAACGCCGAGCAAAGGACGGCGACGTCGACTACGATTGCACGTGATGACGAGAGTCTCGCGGTAGTGGGTGATCAGTGGCTGCTGGCTATAACTTGCGGTTCGCGGCCGTCGGATGGCGGTTGGCTGTCGATTGCTGACTTGCGAGTACGTGCTGTTGCTGAGGGCAGGACATAGTTCAGCCACGCAGACAAGCCCCCCGATACCCACAAGACACCGCCCATCAGCCCCATGTGAAACAGGGGGCACCGTTACTGACGCTGCTTCTGGCACACACCTGCCATTACTGATAAGATCCAAGCTCTACAGTTGCAATTCCCCATCCTCCTCCTCCTCATCATCCTCCTAATCCGCCTTGTTCCTCCTTCTCCCGCTGCCTTCCCTCTTCCCCTGCGACTGGTTACAGGACTTCTTGTGTTACTACTCCAGGCCCTCTCCTCTTCCTACTACTGTGATGGTACGTGGCCAACATACGTGATTTGTCGTAGGTGTTTGGAAGATCCCCTAAACAAATTGTCTGCAAAGGTTTAAAGCTTGTCTCTATGTCTATATATATACACATATCTATATATATATATATATATGTTTCTGGGACTCGTATGAGCTCGTCCAGGTATGAAAAATTAGATCGTGGACCATGGTCTCCAGAAAAGTCTCCTGTATGATCGTTCGTATGGTTTCCCGCGCGGTCTCCCGTATGGTCTCCCATATAGAGTCCCACATGGTCTCACGCATGGTCGCCCGATACACAAGCGACTTATGCATTTGTCCACTGCGCGGTCCCTCCCCGCAGCCTCAACCAGCACTTCGCTCACAGTGCAGCCGACGATGGCGCGGAAAACACCAGGCGCGTTGGCGAAGCATGACGACGAACGCAATCCGCCGGATTGCTGCTGCACTGGCACAGCTTGCTGATCACCCTCCCGCCCAACCATGAGATTTGGCTGGATTCTTCAAGCGCGTCCCAGCCTCCAGGCCGTGGCAATCAGGGCTGCCACGTTCATTGGGCATGGGTCTTGGGATTCGAGACTCATTCTGAACAACAAAGCTCCCTTATACAAGAATGTACGAAAACGAGCCCGCCACACTCTCGAAAAACGATAAAGTTTACTCACGAACTTCGTTTGAAATCTGTCTCGGTATCAAGCAACATTGCATTACGTGTGACAATATAGATGCAACAAACACGTTCAGGAAGTGCGGGGTAAGAGCAGCACGCGCAGAGAGCAGGGAAGGAGCGAAAGTTCAGGTAATGGCAGGGATCGGCAAGGCCTCTAGGAAACCCTCGGGCCTCTTGGGAGCGAACTTGACTAAAAGGGAAATGGTATGCGCGCACGAGTACGGAAGGTTGCCACTGGGACATGCAACCAAAATGAATGGCACCACATAGACTGCGCCATATGCATTATATATATGTGTATATATATGCATATATGTATATGTACTAGAACAACGCGCGCACTACGCGCGCGCTTAGGTTCTAGTCGCAGATGAGCCACGGGTGCCGCTGCAAGCCTTTGTGGCCACGACGACGAGTTCCAGCGTTCTCGGGCCCATGCCATCGACTCAAAGAAACGCGCAATCAGAACGCGGGGCGCCACGTTCCCCCGTATCTCAAAATCTCCCTCCCCTGCCGCCTCTTCTTGTTTAATGGAACTGTGTTTTTTTTCCCAACCCTCTTTGGTTGGGTATTCGTTTTGAATAAGGGACTGTGGTCTCCACCTTCCTTCCTCCCGCTTCCCTCCCTCCTCCTGCGTCCTGCTTCCTGCTTTATTCCCAACCATCCTTGGTTGGGTATTCGTTTTGAATGAAGCACTGCTCGCGCGTCTCCTCCCGCCTCCCTCCTGCCTCCAGCCTGCCTCCTCCTGCCTTGCTTGCGGGGGGCTGCGATATGTGAAACTGTCGTTACTTTCGAGGGCTGCTGGGGGGCCCAGCACAGTAACGCCACGCGCGGACCCAAACTAGACCTCGCCATCCCTGGGGGGGCTGCGATCTGCGAAACTGTCGCCACTTTCGAGGCCTGCTGGGGGGCCCAGCACAGTGACGCCACGCGCAGACCCAAATTAAATCCTCGCCATCCCTGGGGGGGCTGCGATATGTGAAAGTGCCGCCACGTTCGAGGCCTGCTGGGGGGCCCAGCACAGTGACGCCGCGCGCGGACCCAAATTAGACCTCGCCATCCCTGGGGGGCTGCGATATGTGAAACCGTCGCCACTTTCGAAGCCTGCTGGGGGGCCCAGCACAGTGACGCCACACGCAGATTCAAATTAGACCTCGCCATCCCTGGGGGGGCTGCGATCTGTGAAACTGTCGCCACTCTCGAGGCCTGTTGTGTGGGGGGGGCCCAGCACAGCGACGCCACCCACGGACCCAAATTAGACCTCGCCATCCCTGGGGGGCTGCGATCTGTGAAACTGTCGCCACTTTCGAGGTATGTTCGAGGGCCCAGCACAGTGACGCCACACGCAGATTCAAATTAGACCTCGCCATCCCTGGGGGGGCTGCGATCTGCAAAACTGTCGCCACTTTCGAGGGCTGCTGGTGGGTCCTGCGAAATGAGGCACCGCGCGGACCTGAGCGGGACCTCGCCGTCCCTGGGGCTGCGATCTGCGAAACTGTCGCCATTTTCGAAGGCTGCTGGTGGGCCCTGCGGAGTGAGGCACCGCGCAAACCTGAGCGGGACCTCGCCGCCCTTGTGGGGCGGCGATCTGCGAAACTGCCGCCACGTTCGAGGGCTGCTGGTGGGTCCTGCGGAGTGAGGCACCGCGCGGACCTGAGCGGGACCTCGCCGTCCCTGGGGCTGCGATCTGCGAAACTGTCGCCACTTTCGAGGCCTGCTGGTGGGTCCTGCGGAATGAAGCACCGCGCGGATCTGAGCGGGACCTCGCCGTCCCTGGGGGGGGCTGCGATCTGCAAAACTGTCGCCACGTTCGAGAGCTGCTGGTGGGTCCTGCGGAGTGAGGCACCGCGCGGACCTGAACGGGACCTCGCCGCCCCTGGGGGGGGCTGCGATCTGCGAAACTGTCGCCACTTTCGAAGGCTGCTGGTGGGTCCAACCGAGTGAGGCACCGCGCGGACCTGAGCGGGACCTTGCCGTCCCTGAGGGGCTGCAATCTGCGAAGCTGTCGCCACTTTCGAAGGCTGCTGGTGGGTCTTGCGGAATGAGGCACCGGGCGGACCTGAGCGGGACCCTGCCGTCCATTGGGGCTGCGATCTGCGAAGCTGTCGCCACTTTCGGTGAAGCACCGCGCGCTCCTGAGCGAGACCTCGCCGTCCCTGGGGGGCTGCGATCTGCGAAACTGTCGCCACTGGTGGGTCCTGCGGAGTGAGGCACCGCGCGGACCTGAGCGGGACCTCGCCGTCCCTGGGGGGCTGCGATCTGCGAAACTGTCGCCACTTTCGAGGGCTGCTGGTGGGTCCTGCGGAGTGAGGCACTGCGCGGACCTGAGCGGGACCTCGCCGCCCCTGGGGGCTGCGATCTGCGAAACTGTCGCCACTTTTGAAGGCTGCTGGTGGATCCAGCGGAGCGAGGTTCCGCGCGGATCTGAGCGGGACATCGCAATCTCTGGGGGAGGGCGAGCCTCACGAATGCCGCCCGCAGAAGTACATGCGCCCATCTCACGTCATCACCTCCGTATAGCGTCTCCAAATCTCCTCATGCCCCGCATTGCATAGGGGTTGGGTAAGTCGCCAGGGTAATTTCCTCCACTTTCACTTCCGCTCTGCCCCGTCGTGACATCCAATGCTCTTGTACATGTGTTCGGCCTCCCCATGCCCGATCACGCAGACATCCGCCGGCTCCTGATGTTGGGGTTGGCTCGGGGCCTCTTTGCGCGCGCGTGGGAGCGCGCTGTTTTTCCGCGTGCTCCAGGGTTCTCGTTTTCAACGGTCGTTCAGCTGTCGGGTATCTGCACTGCAGAGGGCGCACGCACATGTCCCAGTCATCAGCGCCCTCTTCTGCAATCAATTGTTGTCGAGTCCGTCCACGGGAGGGGGGACTTCTTTGTGCTGGACGCCAAACCTCATGCCGGCAATAATCACACCCGTGGGATCAGAAGGTTCGGATCCACGACGGATGCTTAATTATCTGCCTGGCAAGTCCCATGTATGGGGTTGCCTTGAGCTTTGACGGAGTTACTGGTGGTACCTTCTTGGCGCTCTGGCGAGGCTTTTCAAGAGGTGACGGAGGGGCACGAAGACCTTAGAAATTGTATTGTTTAGCCACACCCCGCTCGTTCGGGCGGGTCCGCCCTGCAAGGGTGGGAGGAGCAAGAATCGCGTCAAACAAAATGGTGTAGGGATGCCCTGTTCTCTTTGGCGGGGGGTCCCTGGCGTTGTGGCAGGGCTTGCCCACGAGGGGAGGGAGGAGAAAAATTGCGGTATTCCCACACCCCGTGCGCTCTAACGGGGCTACTTCGGTGCAGCAACACTCCTCTCGCTCTGCTGGGGCCGCCCGTGAGGGGTGGGAGGGCAAAGCAATTTACAAAATGATAGGGTATAGCGATGCCCCGCTCGCTCTGGCGGGGCCTGTCTGGCGCTCTGGCGGGGCCGTCCCAGGATAGAAGGGAGGAGCACGAAAGCTGAGAGGTGAGGGGAGGAAGAGGAGAGCGGAGGGAATGGAGGCAAGGGGATGGGGCGGGAGGGAAGGAGGGACGGAGGGGGAAGGCCCGGGCCATCTGGGCCGTCTTCGAGCGCCCTGGGGCCTGCCGCTCCCGCTCCCGCTCTGTGGCCCATCTTGAGCCTGTCCTCGGACCTCTTGGGCCGTCTGGGGATAATCCTGGGCAATTTCTGGGCTCTCTGGGGCCGTCTTGGGGCTCTTTCGGGGGCCTCTTTCGGCAGTCTTGGAGCGGTCTTGGGGGCGTCGTCGGCCGTCTTGGAGCGTCGGACGGTCGAAAACGCGAGAAACCGAAAAACATCTAAAAAACAATGAAAATCAACAATCTGGGCCTCTTCGGGCTCTCTCGGGACGTCTCTCGGAGCTCTCCTGGGGCCTCTTGG